GGCTCTCAACCATCTGTAATGAAATAAGATTCCTTCTTCTGGTATGCATAAACACAGAGCACCCATACATATTAAAATACATGAATAAATAAACCTTTAAAAATTAAGAAGCCATAGTTTGTTGTTTCCCACTGCCACTTGAGGACACCGCTGACTACAGGAGTAAACCCATCATTTTTACAATGAAGGCAGCCCCATTTTTGCCTTATCATTATTTGCTAAGGGCGGAAGAGCAGTCAGCCATCAAGATACTCTCTTCCTACCCAAGCAAACTCAAAAAGCCACCAGAAAAGAAACCTCTCATGTGATCTGATCAAGGATGCGATCTGCTAAGACAAAACCAGTGAATTAAAAACTGCCTGCGCTGGGGACGTAGCCCGGGGAGAGAGCACTTGCTTAGCGTGCAGTAGACTGTGAGTCTGAATTCCAGCACCACCACAAGGTTGGTGTCGGCACTGGTTGCAGGTCTGTGGCTGATATATGGAGACATACATGGTTTTCATTCCTCAGAAAGCTCTGGAGGTTATCCTATTCCTTAGTACAGTGAACTGTGTTTGCACATGATCCTTCTCCTAAGGGCATCACTAATACGGAAGGAGGGTGGGAGGCCGGTAGTACGGACATGGGAGTGTCACCTGTACAACCCAGCTTAGGCAGAGTGTTGCAAAAACACAAACAGATTATAGTCTACTTATCTTTGCAATTTTCTGTGTTGGGGATCAAGCCCGGAGCCTCAAGCCTTCTAGGCAGGCATTCCACCATTAGGCTATTACTCCAGCCCATCTGTTTTCTCATTACTGAGCAAAGCACATTCCCCTAATCCTACTGAATGACTATACTGTTTTTCTACTAATGCAACCCAGACAGACCCGGAATGCACACACACACAAATTCTGTGAGTATTTTACTGAATACCTAAAGCTTTTGAGTCCTTTAACTCCTGGTGTGGAACCTGCTCCTGGCTTGATAGCTGCTTTCTGCCCACTGACTGTAAATTTCATAAGGAAGACTCTGGTTTTGTGGGTCTAGGTTTTTGTTTGCTTGTTTGTTTTTTGTTTATTTTTTTTAATGGGGGTAGATATTGAACCCTGAGCCTTAGCACGGTAGGTAAGTGCTCTACCCTTGAGCTACATCCTTAGTCCTAGGATTTTGTTTTGTAATTGGATACTATCCCCAGAGTTTAGTGTTAAGTTCTGGCACCCAGAATACATACTACATGTTTGTTTGTTAACTTTTTAAAATAAGGATACTGAGAAAAAGAATCCATAAATTGTCTCACCAACAAGAAGAATCAACAAGTTATCCCAGAAGCAAAGAATCCAGGTGGAGACCACTGTAGTCCTTCGAATGAGAGGGAGGTAAGCTTTGGCCAGTGAGCCAGGGCAGCGAGGATGGAGGAAGATGAGCTGATGTGAGACAAACTCAGCAATCAAGTCAGGCCACTGATGTGTCTCGGCCTGTAAAAGAAACTCGCTGCCAAGCCTGATGACCTGAGTTCAATTCCCAGGCTCCATACGGTGGAAGGACAATACTGTTTTTTTTTTTTTTTTTTTTTAATGTCCTCCAACTTCTTCACATGCAGACACACACAAAGTAAACAAATGTATTTTTAAAATATAATTAGAGGATCGGGGGTGGTGGCCCACACCTTTAAGCCTAGCACCCAGGAGGCAGAGGCAGGTGGATCTCTGTGAGTTTGAGACCAGCCTGGGCTACATAGTGAGTTTCAGGACAGACAGAACTACATAGTGACATTTGTCTCAAAAAAACCAAAACCAAACAAACAACCCAAATGAAACAAAACAACAACAACAAAACAAAAATAATTAGAAAGCAAGGTAGACAGAACTTGGTTGCTTCAATGTTTTGAGCCAAGTGACAAAAGCCAAATTTTCCTCCTTGGATGTGAAACAAGCAGGCAACCCTGAAGAGGGAAAGGTTTAGAAGCTGGTATAGAGTCCCATGTTTCATGAGCTCCTCGGGTATCAGTGCCTAGTTCTTTCTTCCTCAACTCAGAGCAGGAGACAATGGCCGTGCCTGACAAACAGGTTTGGGAATGAACACCACACAGAAACCTGAAGCCAGCATGCAAGAAGATGAAAGCAAGCAGCCCGTGCGCTGGGAGTCTTGGAGAAGGCTTACCAGTTACATGAAGGTAAGTCCCTAGCTCGCTCCCTCCCTCCCTTTCTGCTTTTCTCTTTTATTTTCTCCTTAAGAATCAGAGCTTGCTTATGACATTGATTGGACATTTAATAAACAAACCAGTTTCATTCTTCCACCATCTCATTCAAACCACTCCTCCTGGGACAGCATAGCTACTCGGATTGTCTATTGTCATATATAGAAAATATCCAGACCAATGTAAATTAAAATTTCCATGTCACATGGAGTCTATATCTTCTGCTTTCGATCATCAAGTAGAGGGGTTTGTCCATTTTTTTTTTTTTTTACACTCTGTATTTCTATCCATTTCCTCTCTGGTTCTTGGATCGCTCAGGTTAAGGTATGAATGTAGGAATAAAGAAAGCACAGTCAAAGTGTGTATTTGGGAACTGGCTTTCAAATGTGCCCTGCATGACAGACAACAAAATGGTCTACCTTCTGCGGGGGACCTGGGTAGCTCTCCAGAGACATCTGTACAAACCGCGATCAAGACTCAGAAGAAATTATCTAACCCACTTCTCAGAATTACCCTCAACTCCCATCTTTTTCCCTAGCTGGGGAAAATTAGCCCCAAACTATTCTACTTCTTGGATAAGGTCCTTGCAAGACCACATTGCCTCCCTGCAGTAGACAGGGTGAGGCCCTGCCACAGTGGTTCCTGAATGTCCATAGTTTTCCCTCACCTGTGTTCCAGGTCCATGGAGTGAGCATCAAGGCTCAGCTTAGCATTGTCTATCAGAGCTCGGGGCTGACTGAGAATTAGGCTCTTGCCCAGATCCTGTGATATCTACTGGATGTGGGAAATGAGAAGCCCTATACCACTTTGATCTCTTGACCTGCAGGGGTGCCTCCCTTTGTGTCCAGACCCCCTGGACCAAGAACTGGCTGCATACTTGATTTAGTATAAAAGGTGAGAGTGTGCAATCCATACATCGGCTGAAAAGGACTAGAATCTTTTGGACAGCCCTATAGACAGACTCCAGGTGACCCAAGGGAACATTCTAGACTCTTGGGACTAGGCTGTTCCGCCATTTCTCCCCTCCGGCCAGCTTCTGTCTTCAGATCACGGACTTTTCAGCTCCTGGAACACTTCAGGTGCTCTAAAGGCTTGTGTTTGTCTCTGGCCAAAGACATTGCTCAAGCTTTCAGAGGTCAGTGCCATCAACCCTTTGTGACCCTGAGTACTGTCTTAATTTTATCTCCTGGGAAACAGGACAAAGGCTGACTTCCTCTATTCAGTGAAAAGCCAAAGCCTTTCCTGATTGGCCAGCAGCAAGCCTATCACAGTGGCTCTGGTGACGCCTCAGATGACCAAGGGGTACAAGAGATTGGTCCTTCCCTAGCAAGTCACAGTTTTCCTGAATAGGGACTACTTACCTTTCCTTCTAGTTTTAGGTTCCAACTTAAATTTGAGCCATCAGGCAAAGTTCCATTTAACATTTTATTCCATCTTTAAATAGCCCGGACCAATTACCAAAGAGGTAGAAGAAGATGCTTGGCCTGAATGCGTGGTCTAAGCGCCAAAGGGAATGTTTTCACAATCTGCTGAAGGCAATAAAAATAAGGACAGAATGTCCATTGAGTACTGGGGAAAAGTGATGGCCTTGCCATGAAGGCTTCAGTATGAGGAAAGATCTGGAGGTTACCAATAGTTGCTAAGGAGTGAATGGAAGACAGGGATGCCAGGTCAGTGGCCTCAGCATCACACATGGAGCAGTGTGGCAATGAGGGAAAAAGAGGGTTCAGGCGACGTCAGGGGATGTAAGGCAAAGAGGAAGGCTATTTTTTTTTAAATGAAAGAATTAATTATGCTGAACCGCTAACATAGTCTTTTTTTAAGAAGAGAATGAGAGATAATTGGAAGAGGGTTTTCGTCTTTTTTTTTTTCTTCCTTCATCTCAGAAGGAAAACACACCTACATAACTGATGTTAAAATTCGCAACGGAGATGCTGGTTGGCAACAGGAGCCAGTGCTGGGGTGGGGGTGAGAAAGGGGGAGGAGGAGGAGAAAGAGGGGAGGAATCTGGACATTGCCAGTGTGGATCCTATGGGCACTTAGACAGCTGTGGTTTTCCATTCAACTGAATGGCTATGTTCACTGGGCTCTGAAGTTTTATAAACATCTTTGTGCCTTCGAGTGCATACCTCTGTGTTCTTAGCGGGGAACAAGAGGCTTGTAGTTTGTCCTCCGGTGCCAGCCACACAGCTGATTAAGGTAAATGTGGCTGACTTCCTCGTTCATCACAGCAACATCCATGATGGTGCTGGTTGGCACGTAGGTATCAGGAACCAACCGCTAGGTGCCATGCCTCCTCCATATGCCACTCAAGGACCTGGGGCTGTCTCCCTCCTGCAGATGCAAACCTTCTGAGTTCTACACATTTTAAATTATTTTATATTTGGATTATTTTATGAAAACCTGCTTCCTGTGGTATGTGTGAAAAAGATGTGTCTCCACACCTCCACGGTGCTTCCAAATTTAGACATGTGACCTACTAAGTTGGATCCAGAAACATGGGAGCCTATCATCCTTTAAAGCAGGTCACCATTTCCATACGTGATCCTGCCAGCCTTCTTCTTCTGTTTGCTTTTGGGTTTTTGTTTTGAGACAGGATTTCTCTGTGTTACCCTGGCTGTCCCGGAACTCTGTAGACCAGGCTGGCCTCAATCTCAGAGAGCCACCTGCCTTTGCCTCCCAAGTGCTGGAATTGAAGGTGTGTGCCACCATCACCCAGCTTTTGCCAGTCTTTTTTTTTTAACTTTTTATTGATTCTTTGTGAATTTCACATCATGCACCCCAATCCCATTGATTTTCCTGCCCCTCCATCTCTGCCCCTCACCCTTGCAGTGTGTCATGATGTGACTGACACTCAGTCTACCCTTTTTCCCCAAGCAGCTTTACTTACAAATCTTCATTGCAATGAGTTATGGTCTGGTTCGAGACTTCTGGCTTCTGCTATGCCCTCGATGGATCCTCATGGGGACTCCTCTTGGCTATCCTGTTGTTGCCCGGTGTCATGGAACTCCTGCCGTCTGCCACCTTTCTTCATAGTCATGAAGGCCCTAGACATGGCGAGAGCTCCTCTCTGTCAGGAGAAAGAACAGAAGAAATGGTGGTTGGAAGATGGTGTGTGTGATAGAAAAGCTGTCCTTTTTTTGTTTGTTTGTTTCATTCTGACCCCCAAGTCATGTCATACTGAGCTACCAAATTAGACAGGCAGCCAGCACAAAACCCATCACGTCTCCACACCCTGGCTAAAAGCAATGTTCCTGAAAGTGGCTGTGCTCTTCGTGTGGATAAGAATGCCATGGGATGGAATCCCAAGCAGTCCACGTGCTCACAGGGCCTATGTAAGAGGTCAACCTTCGCTGGTTTATAAAGGTGGGGCTTGGGGGCTGCTGACTACTGCATACAGTCCGGCCTCATGCCCCTTGCTTAAGACCCTTGAGAGACTCTGTCATACAGCTTAAAACCTGGCCACTATGGACTTCTCAAGACCATTCTACTCCTAAAACCAGTGATCCTCTTCTGTCTCTTTTGGGTTTTTTTTTTGTAATACATGTGGGTCTGGGCTTGCAGGGGCATCACCCTAGAGGCTACACTGTGAATGATATAACCTGGATTGGCAATGTCCTGGCTCAGCCAACCAGAGACTGAGGAACCTCGCCAGAAAATTATCTTATTCAGTTCTTCTCATAAAGAAGTTACAAGCACATATAATAGTGAAACATAATATAAACTCGTAATACACTATTAATACTGTTCATTCAGTTATAATGATAAGATTTTGATATGGGAGACTTGCTTTTTGGAACCACCATGATTTTTATTAGAATGCTATATATA